AAAAGAGGATCGCCTTATGTGCTACCACTTGTAACTCACGAACGGCTGAACCGATTTAGATGAAAATTGGCAGGAGGTAGTTTAGAGTCAGGAGAAGGACATAGGATACTTTTTTATCCCTTTATTTCATTCTAATTTAAAATTAATTATTTATAAACTATCCATGTATTAGTTTATTTCAATCTATGATACTATCAATGATTTCATCCATGACATTTGCATTCGATTGTCAAATGTCATTCGTGTTTCTGTTTTGATACAAATGTATTAATATGCATTTCTTAATGACCATTATTTGAAAATTAATACGTGAAAATATAAATATTTTAATCGCCACGGAAAATTAATACAAAGTGGCAAATAAATTAATTCTTAATAATACAAGCGATGCTAGATGACGATGGGGAAATTTTTTTCTTGAAAATGGAATGTAATTATTTATATAATTAAGTATTTATGTATATTTGTTTATACTATTTAAATAGAGTATTTGAGGTGTTTATATTATATATCAGCAATAAGTATAATCATCAACAAATTAATAAAAAAAATATTCTGAAATATAGTTTCTTGACTCCATACCTCAAATTTGTAATAAAATGTAAATAGTTATACATTAATTGTTGTTAATTTTTAATTTCTTTATACATATCTTATAAAATGTTCAGGTGTTTACAACTATTGGCATATATATATTATCAGCAAATGTGCTTTGATTCGACAATAAAAAGGTCTAATTGAAGTAATCGACTACCTTAAGTTAACTATAGTGATAGAATATTAGTTTTTGGTTCTCATATATATAACCCAGCCCAGCTATAAACCTCACGGAGCCCCAGACTTCCAGCAAATGCAAAATTGTCGAATTCGGTTTGTGCATTCTGGAGATATATCGTCAGAACTTATAACTCAAGAAGGCTGAACCGATTTAACTGAAAATTGGCTTTGGTAAAGTTGGTAAAGTTGGTTCAGAGCCAGGAGAAGGACATAGGATACCTTTTATCCCGTTCGACTTGGAATAACAATAAGCAAATGACAGCTATGTAATCACGTATGGATGACAATTCAATATTTGTAAGGAATTAATAATAAAATTATTTATTTTAAATAAATAATTAACAATTATAATATAATGATAGTGCCATTGCCCATTCGTATAAACAGTGAAGCGAACTATGTATAACTCAGTATGGTTGACAAATCATATTTTTCTCAAACACAATGCTCTGAAAGAACTCATTTGTATAATTATGTACTCATTGTATTTATAAAACCTTTTCTAGATTATTCAGATTTAGAACTTAAATTTGGAATTGATCAAAGGAACATTTTGTCGAATAGCTTATTTCCAGTTATAATTTTCTGAATTTATTCAAGAATGGATAGTAATATATGAAGATCCACGACCGAAGTGTCAAAAACCAGTAAAGCTAAGCATTGTTTAACAGCAGTATTGAATGTAAAGGGAAAATATGTATAATCAGCTATAACCTTGATTTTATGACTTTGGTATTGGGAGATAAATGGTAATCTTGAAAATCCATAGTAAAAGTATTTTCTTCCATTGGTAGTTTTCTAGCAATTAGTTGAAAATGTAATTATTTTGTAAAATACCTTTGAAATTAAAATATGACATTAGACCTGCTTGCCATCTGGCCGTTCCAAGTTACCCCGTTATAGGGTAAAAAGGTCTAGATAAATTTTTTTAAAGACAGCAAAAAAGCACGTTTTTACAATGATGAAGTAGCTGGTAGTTTCACTGAACGTAGTCAGATAATTGTTCATTTGAAATGTGTCATTTGTTGTGATGTAATTGGTTTGATTTTCATAATAAAATTTATATTTGCCTAAAGTCAAATTGGACCTTTGTGCCTTGCCCTGTCCTACATATATACTTTTTATTAAATTTACTTTTATTCATCGAATATTACTAGAAACTTTTCAAAAAGCAGGTCAAAAAAGAGATACCTAAATCATTTTGTATCTCTCCTCGCAGAAATTTGAAAAATTTGTATAAGCTCAATAGTATTATTTACAATTATACACAAAATCCAGAATCCAAAAAAAATTTCAAAAAATTTGAAACGCATTCATTAATCGATTAAATGGAATTTGTAATGACTATATAAGTCGAAAGACCAACAAAGACTTGGATTGAATTATGCCATGTTTTCTATAGAAAGTGTATAAAACTTTCAGTTTGGTTGTATTAATAAAATATATACAAACTAATGGGGTTTATTGTTTCTATAATATCTCATTGTATATAGCAATTCAAACAACACATCCTTACACAAAAAGTATTAATTTTTTTAGATACTCTAGAAATTGTTTATAAAATAACTTACTTAGCAAAACAACGTTTGCCGGGTCAGCTAGTATATATATATATTAGTTACATACATACTGCACACATGCATTTACGCACATAAACACATAAATCCATTTTTGCAAGTTATGCCAAAAGGTTCAGAAATCCTCGAAACGTAGAATTATGGAAAAAAATTCATTTTCGATTTTTCCAATTACTATAACTTACCCTATGGGAAGTTAAAATACTATGATTATTCCAAGAAATTAACTAGTGGGGCACATCGTACCTTAAGGCAAATTGCTGGAACTTCCCGTACCGTAATTAAAAATCTTGGTACGGAACCCAAAAAAAATATTCACAAAATGTGTACACATTATTGAAATCTCTATAAAATATCTAATAATATGATGTACATATGTCCAATACATTTTTGACCGCCAAATGGCATCAACTTATTTTTATTCCATAACCGTTGGACTTGCCTTCCCCAAAAATTTAGTCAGTTCTTCATCTTGTTAATACAAGTAAAATGTTTTTTGAATTATTAAAATCGGACGCTCCGTTCTCTTAAAAACTGAGTTATCGTTTTTGGCACTTCTTGTTCAGTATCTTCAGAACGGCTAGACCTGCCTTCGCCAAACACTAATCAGCACATCTCATTATCAATACGAAATCAAATCCGCAAACACACACGCTACAGGCACAAACACACATCCATTTGTTTTAAACGTAAAGATATATAAAAATTTTCATTTTCGATTTTTTGCGATTACTACAACTTACCCTACGGGAAGATAATAATCATTATTCTTTTGTATGATAGCCAAATTATTCTATTGCTTAATAATTTATGATAGAAAATCATATTAGTGGTATTTGTAATTTTCAAAAATAATTTCAAATAATTACTGTGTTAATGAATCATAGTATAATACTAAAAAAGTTTTAAATTTAGAAATAATATATAAAAAATGTGTGTACTACATAAGGATTTATAAATTCTTTTTGTTCGATAACCATGTTCGAATTTTTTTATGAATAATTTTTTTCTATATATAATATATATATATATATATATATATATATATATATATATATTAGACTTCCAAAAAAGAAAGAAATGCTCCCTAAAACGTTAAATAAATATAGCTATGCTCCCGAAAACGTCGACGAAAAATTTCATCTATACATACATGCATACTACATACACACACATCCATTTTTTCTAAGGTAAGTATGCCAAAATTTTCGAAACGTGACATAATTAAAAAAAAATCATTTTCAATTTTGATTAGATTTGGACTTACCCTATGGAAAGTTAATAACAAATTAAGATTCACCAAACCCTAAGCATTATTATATTACTTGATGATTCTTAGTGCATCTCTGTGATAACCAGCAAACTAGCGCTACATCATAATTTCACTCAAAATATGTTTACACATGTGCAAACCCCAAACCTAATATTTATATTATTGCACGACATATGCATATACGTCTGAAAACATACGAAAATTCCATAATATCATAACAATTTTCTGAACGGACACACAAACAACTTGTCGTTTACTATTGATATGATTAAGTCCATAATCTATTTTGTCAATGCATAGAAGAAAAGCTGTTAAATCAAAGTATTATTGTAAATATGATTTGATTTCAACACATGAGTTTATCTGATTTCATAAACACGAGATGTAAACATTTATATCATTGTAAAACTTTATTGTCTTTTATGGCGTTAGTATTTTTATGGAGCGGCACGGTGTCCTAAATATATCTGCTTCACGGCAAAATTTTCCACGATTTACATTAGAATTGTGATAAAAATTTTATTTATGTGCAAAATCAAACCACATTCGAATAAAATGAAATAAAGTGGAAAATTTAAAATTTAAATTGATTTATTTCTTTGCATATGATTTGTAAAACTAATTTACTCCATAGTCATTTGTTACTGTTAACATGCTTTTAACGTGCTAAATATTTGCTAATCGATCAGGTTTTTAACCCTTACGGGACGGCACCGATTTCAAAACAATCTACTGTACCGGCTGTAAACTTGATTTCATTGCGTATGCTATGCAATTTGTTTGATAAAAATTTGTGGTCATTGAAGGACATACATTTATAATACTAATTTATTTTTTATCATTTTATAAAGAATGGTGACGTTCTTTAATGAATGGATTTTGACATGTCTTACAATAAAATGTTGTTCGCCATCCTCCTCCTGGTGCTTTTCTGTCAGAACAGACAATACAATCCCTTTTTCTTTCTCTCGCATTTAGAATATGCCACTGATTAGTCAGTATAATTGTTCATTTTTTGTTGCCATAATGGTTTATTTTTTTCTATTATATTGTCTAATAATTCATTTGTAAAATATAAAATAATATAATCTATTGGATGTCATATTGCTTGGTATTTGTACTCGGGGTGTTTGTTGATGTATGTCAAACTCGATTATTGAAGCCTTAATAGAAAACTTAACCTAGAAAAAGCACAAAATCAAACGCACAATCTTATCATAACTGCATCTTTCTGATGTGGCATAATAAAATACTAGTGAAGTTGCATTTTAAATGTAAAACACCTGATCCCACCGCGTATACATGGAATTTTGATAGTATTTAGTATCATTTTGTATCTTTATATATAATGTTAATGAAAGAAATTATTCAGTAAAAGTTTTTCAATATAAACAAATAAAACAAAAAATACAAGTCAACTTTCCTAATGTAAATTTTCTTCTATCTCGATGGTTGTTTCAAATAAGTCACTGTGTTGACTTGTTTCTACTAATGATGAAAACTGTTACTAACGAAACACGAATCAAAACTAATTAGTTCTTCCATTTCAGTTCTGAAATCCATACAATCAAAGAGAGAAGTTTCCATGTGAACTACTTTTTACTTAAAATGCAGTCAACTTTTTATCATGTAATTTAACACAGAAATAGCACTGGCAATGATAATAATGTGCATCGTATTATTTTTAGCATCATACAATGTAAGTTTTACGTTCATCGATCATTCAATTGTTAATGTTTCATATTAAATACAAATTCAATAAAGATTTATTAATTAAACATCAACGTATTCATAAAATATGTTTGTTATTCAAAGATCTTCATGACATATAAATATTTTGTAAAATGTGTCAAAATATAAAAGAAATATTTAATTTTTGTTATTCATTGCTTTGATATGTGGTAATCATATATATGATAGATAGATAGAGAATATATATTAGATTTTTATAAAAATATGTGCCTTGCAAATATCTTTGAAACTTTTCTTAAGATTGAGTACGGTTGTGCCAGGATAAGGTAGCGACAGTCATCATAACAGCTAAACTATACTAATTTTGAGATAAGGTTCAAACGGAGAAATAGTATGTTTCTTCGAACAAGTTTCCATTATTGCATTGAGTTGTCAGTGCTCCTGCATTAACATGATCTGTAGACCGAATTGCTTTTAAAAAGCCAAAAGTAAGTTTTTCTTTTAATGATAATTTATATAATCTGCTAAGTACCTACTTGATACTAATAACTTGTAAATTTTACCAAGGATACTTTAATATAAAATTGATAGCATAAATATTTGTACATTCTTTATATCAACTATATTTTTTAGTGATTTTTGAAAATAATGCATATATATTTAGCCAATTGAGTTAAAAAATAATTTGATTTTATTTTATAATTTATATAATCTGTTAACCTATACTCCTCTGCATTCTTTTTATATTAAAAATAGATCTTATTAAAATAAATAATATTAGAAGAAGAGACTGGGTGCGGTTGTGCATTTTTTTAATCAGCAATAATATTGTTATTTTACCAGTTAGCTGGAGGAAAAGCAAATTAAATGGTAATTTGAACATTTGTCTACGAGGAAATACTGATTATAAATTAAATTATTTTTTAACGTAATTATCTAAAAAATATATATGCAATAATTTAAAAAAATCACTATAATTGTTGAAAAAATATATAATTGTTATGAAAAATGTAAAATATTTGATGTCATCAATTTTCTATTGCGTATCCCTAATAAAATTTATATGTTATTAATCATCTCGTAAATATTTGACAACAAAGCTATTTATTACTTACGTTTATGTCAGTAATAGATAAATCATGAGTCAATGATTTTTATGCGAAAATGGCTCTAATCTAATATTAATAAAGTGTTATTGAAACACTTATCAGATTAGTAGTTCTCGAACGCGAATTTATGATTTAGTGAGATTACAATTAATAAATTTAATGTATCTGCTCGTTTTGTCTATAATGAATTTATTTATACAAACTACACTCAATAAGGAATATATATTTTCAATTTTCAATTTATTTTTTTCGTAATTTCTCTCGTATTGATGTTATTTTTTTTTTAATTTGACGCTGCTATACAGAGAAAGGGCTTTCACGTGCTCGCATATTCAATCCTAATATTTCAAGTAAAAACGGATTTCAGAACTACTTGATATCAGATCGAGGCAGTTATGGAACTATGTGGATGAAAGGGCCAAAGCTTTTATCACTGAGCAACGATGAAACCAACAAATAAAACTATGAGTTTTTGTATAACAAAGCATTTGCGCCTTTTTCTAAATATAAAGATCTAATTGTTTAACTCATATATAATTCATAATTTCAAATAATTAAATCTGGCTAGAAAACTATACACTTAATGCTACTTAATACTACTTAATACTCCAAAAATATCATCAACAGTTGAAATCAGCAATTGTGTTGACACATTGCATGACTAAGTGTATAAGTAAATTATAATTATTGAAATTTCAGGACAAAGATTTTCTGTCAAGCTGATACTGTGCCAAACCATGGGCAAAGTCTGCTCACAAAAAGATTAAAAATGAGTAATATAAAGCTTAAAAAACAATATACACTATATAATTAATCTCGAACTGTTATGTATGCAGAATGCAACATTTCAGAATTATCTATTGTATTTGCAAAGTTTGCATTGTAAACAGATTGCGCAATATCACAAATCATAATGAATGAAATGCATAAAAGATATAATGAAAGCAATGTCCAGTAGGTATGCAAAAAGTAAAATATTAACGGCTTGTTGTATTCATTAAAAAAATTATCAAGATATTAATATTAACACTTTCGGGACGGCACCGATTTCAAAACGATCTACTTTGTTATGCAATTTGTTTGATAAAAATTTGTGGTCATTGAAGGACATGCATTTATAATACTAATTTATTTTTGATCATTTTATAAAGAATGGTGACGTTCAAAACAATTTCTAAAATGCATAGTTGGTTGATTTTGACATGTTTTACAATAAAATGTTGTTCGCCGCCTTCATCCTCATAACAGACAATACAATTCCTTTTTCTTTCTCTCACATTTAGAATATGCCACTAATTAGTCAGTATATTTGTTCATTTTTGTGCTGCCATAATAGTTTGTTTTTTCTATTATATTATCTGATAGCAATATGTTTTCAAGTAAAAATAGCCCTTGCCCGGCATTGCTGCATCAATAAAATGTCAGCCCTATTAGGTTAATTCTAATAACAAATTCATCAAATATGGATGGATTAACCATTGGGTTACCATCTAAAATAAATACGAAGTAAGGAGAAGTTTCAGCCCAACAGCTCATAGGACGTAAGGTTCTGATTGCTGTTCAAAAAAAAAATATAATATAAAAAAAAATATTATCTAATAAGTCATTTGTAAAATATAATGTAAAATAATCTATTGGATGTCATATTGCTTGGTATTTGTAGTCGGGGTATTTGTTGATGTATGTCAAACTCGATTATTGAAGGAAAATCGGTACATTCGCTAATGTCTTCCCGCTCTTAATTTATTTTGTCGAACTTCTTCTTTTTGTTGGTTGGATAATATCATCATCACATTCATCACTATCATCGGTGTGAATAGTAAAATTTGTCCGTATGAATGTCTATTTGGAACTCATCTTCACTACTGCTTAATTCACAAAATTTACCAGTCGTTTTGCCATATTTAAAAGCGCTCGGTCGTTTTAAATATTAAAAAAAGACCATATAGCAAAGAAAAAGGCTAAAAATACCACTAAAATAACTTAAAATTGTTTTCAAAATACAATACTGTTTATCACTGTTATATGTAATTTATTCAACTTTTCGGTGCAAACTGAGTCATTGTTTATAAAATAGCCTGTGCCTCACAGAGTATGTTTGTCCACTGAGGTGGACAGCCGTCCCCAAAGCGTTAATCAAAATGGAGTTGGTAAAAATGTTCCCATAAGAATGCAATTGCATTCCAGTGATAGTACACCTAGTTTGGAATCAGATATTGCTTATACTGCACTTGAAATTTGAAAATTGACAAATCTTTCAGAAGAATAGTTAGTAATATCGATATCAAAATAAGATATATTCTATTCATTAAACTATCTGGTATCTTAAATCCTGTGATATATAACAGATGAATATTTTGTAGTTGATAATAGCCACAAAACTAAGCATAGACGGCGTTAAGACGTTTTCTCATTATCAAAAACCTACCAAAAACACATTTTTTAACAATACTATTTTACCCGCTATTTTTTACATCTAAAATAGAAGGCAAAAGGTGTATAGTGAGAAAGCATATTATTAGAATGTACTAATTTCTGTATATGTATTGAATAATATGTTTAAAAATTGTATGAAATACATAGTAATGTAATTATAATTACATTATTTTCAAAAATCACTTATTTTGGTTTGTCAGTAAGATTTTGATGCGTCATCAATTACAAGATTATCAGCATAACTTTTGCAGTGCGCCTGGAATCTCACTAGTAAACGATTTTTTTCTATCATGCCAAGTTTTTCTCGTGAAAATATTTGATTTAATTAGCATCAATTGAAAAACTAAAGCGTTAAACATGTCTGATGATACGTAATTTTACAACAAAACAATTACTATCCATGTATCCATGTTATTGTGCCATTGTCTCCGAATCACAGGTGATTTCACAATACAAAATGTTGTTGCAATTTTTAAGACGATCTATATTCAGGCATTTATAACATTAAAATAATTGTTCTGTAAGTATTCAGCAATTTTACGCGCCATTTCACTTATTATCGGGTCACTTGTGGGCAATTTTAAAATTTGTGCTTGATGATTTGTGTCTAAAATTCTTTCAATTTTGGTCTTTGTCTGCACACGTCCTGATCTGAATTTTTAAATTTCCGTGGGGTAAGTTATAGTAATCGCAAAAAAATCGAAAATGCATATCTTTAGGTTTCGAAGGTTTCTGAATATTTTGGCATACCTTAAAAAAAATTGATGTATGTGTGTGTATATGTATGTACGTGCGGATGCAATTTTTCGTCGACGATTTCGGGAACACGGATCAACCGATTTCAAGGTTTCAAAAAAAAACATTCGATTCCTATTGATAAGAATAGTTTTTGGCAGGTTCAGCCGTTTCAAAGTTCCAAAAATGCTAATTCAGTTTTTGAAAGAATGGAGCGTCCGATTTCAATAATTCAAAAAACATTTTATTGGTATCGACAAAATAAAGAACTGATTGAATTTTTGGAAAGACAGGTTTTGCGATTTCGGATATCCAATACAAAAAGAAAAAAAAAACTACCATTTGGAGGTCAAAAAAAATAATTAGATATAAGCACAACAATTTATTAGATATTTTATTAATAGGTAACATTGTTTATCCTTTAGTCTGCGAAGCAGCGCTTACGCGCTTTGATATTTCGCCCCTTCGCAGCTAACGCAGCTTTGAAAAAAGTTCAAAATTTTCAAAAAAGTCAACTTTTCTCAAAAATTTTAAAAATCTCAAAAATCGATTTTTTTTTTTAACTTTTCAAAAAAAAAAAACTTTTGAACAAATTAATGTTCTGCACGATGCCATGCACCACTAGTTTTTTCCTAATTTCTAATCTATCCATTAAAATGATACGTAATAATATCTAAATGAGGTTGATATGTTTTCCTAATTATTACTTGAAAACTATGATATATCTATTTTTTAAACAAGTGTTTTATTTTGGCACATTTAAAGTGATACAAATCGTTTTAAGCGTTAATAAATATTTATTTATTTATTTAAGGCCTTTAACCAGTCGGTCATTTAGCCCAATTTAATAAATGTATATATATATAAATATTTCAAAGTGAAGGGATTGTTGTAAAAAGGCTAATAGTGTGAAAACTCGTTTCAAATCCAATATTTAATAGGTTTTTATATTTGTTTTAAAGTTGAAACTAGTTGGTTTGGTATTTAGCCTTGAGGCAAGTTACATGAACTTCCCGATATGTTTAAATAATCGACTTAATCAATAAAAAATAAATCTATATATCACTAAAAAAAATCCATAAAAATCGGCTTAAATTTTTTTTCATCAGTTAATTACAAGAAAACGGCTCGGTAGATTTTCACCTAAAACTAATCAGTATTATTACCAACTAATATCTTTCGAACAGTTTTTGATTTCTTTAATTCGATTCGGTAGCATAAGCTTATATGTGGACGAACACTACCATTCCACATTATAAAGAAACGGCTCGGCAGATCGTCGCACATAACTGACAAACGATAGTCCTCACCGAAATACATCAAATGGCTTTTAAATTTCTGTAATCGGTTAAGGCGTTTTTGAGAAAACGTCGATCAAAGATTTCATTTTGACAAATGTCAATAAAACGATACCAATTTTTGCAAACTTTGACGAATTTTTAAAGCTAAACGAGTTGTCGTAGGGCCGTAATATTTTAGTATGACCTAGAAAACTATGGTATCTACCGTCAAAAAAAAATCATAAAAATCGTCGAATTTTTTTTTTTAAAACTTTATTACAAGGAAACGGCCCGGCCGATCTTTACCAAAAACTAATCAGCACGATCCCAACCAATATCTATCGAATGGTTTTTGAATTTTCAGAATCGATTCAGAATTGCGGGCTAAAACGTGGACGAAAAATTTTTCACTTTTCTGCAATTTACAAAGAAACGGCCCGGCCGATCTCAGAAACGATAGTCCTCATCGAGATACATCGAATGGCTTTTAAATTTTTGAAATCGGTCCAGCCGTTTTTGGAGAAAACGTCGATTTACGGCAAAAAATCTGTTCACACACACACACACACACACACACATACTTTTTCCAAATTTGGTCTCATTCGATTCAGAATGGCTTGAAACGTCGAGAAAACATAAAATTAGCGAATCGGATTTTTTGATGAAAACAAACTTCTCCTTCGCGAAGTTAATAAATTAATATTCTTATAATTTATTAAATGTGTATGATATTAAATAAATTAATATTTATTTTTTGTTTAATTTGTTTGTTATTCACCATGTTAAAAACCGTCTAAAAGACTGTTATAGCACGATTTTTCCAAATAAGAGTTAATTTTTCGAATTACACGGTTTTTTATGGAACCTATCATCCGTGTAAAACGTGGAATAGGTGTGTATTATTAGCAGTTGCTGCTTTTGTTTGTAAAAAGCAGATTGCAGAATAAAATTAATAAAAAATTTAAATAGTAAAGCTAGACAATTACTTAGAACAAATTCCTTTAGCTCG